ATATTCACAGAATATGGCGTAAAATCGCTGATTTTATCTCCCCGACAAATCTGAGGACATGATTCCCGGCTCGAAGATGCCTTCCACTGGCGACGTGCTTAGTGCTTTCTTGCGTCATCACGTTGATCAAGAGTAAGAGTTGAAGACAAGCACTAAAGTGGTTTGGGAAGATATTTAGCGTTTTTGGGCGGCAGCCAGAATTCCCACCAGGAGGCAGGACCATGCCATCGATAAGATCCTTGCTCTCTACAAGGTCTGGACCTTTTGAAGGAAATCAAGAATAAGAACAGCTAGGCACAGAGATAGAAGGAGGAGGTATTCAGGAGCAGGCTTGCGAACCTGTTTGATGCGAGGGCTTTCCATTATGAAAAACGAAGCGAATCGGGTTTTCTTGCTGGCTCAGCAGGAACCGGGAAAGCGAGGCACAACGGGATCCGTCGATAAGAAAACAGAAAGGAAAAAAAGACGGCTGCAAAGCGAGAATTGCACGAATAAGGAGGAGGCAGAAAATGACAAGTGAGATTTCATCATCTTCATAGAAAGTAAAACTTGCATCTTCTTCCACAGATGTTTCTGCGTCAGAATCCATGAAAAAGAAAGAAATCAGTACGTGAGGAGGTGGCAGTAGTACATCAAAAAGAGCGAAGAAGAGAATGTAGAATGTGATCTCCGTCGATGATGCCGCAGGACTTGTTTGCTCAAAAGTGAGTAATGGGATTACAACGTATGTCATTATAGAAATGGCAATGAGCCAAAGTCACAACCCATAAGAACTCAGCATTAGTAATTTCCCATCCAACGACACCAAGAGCTTTAGCCCAGTACCTTACGAATAGCATTGATTAGTGAAGTTGAGAAGGTTCCATTCATTGCTCTCTGGGATGGAAAACTTATTCCAGATTTGCCGCATTCAAACTAGTGGACGGACTTGCAGTCATTGTCAGCGCCATCAGTTGGCAATGCCAGTTTCTTGGAGCCCCAAAGTTTGCTAGTAAAATAGAAATAGTTGCAGCTGTCAAGCTTTTCCAAAAATGGGTAATGACAGAGTAGTTCATTAGGCTATGCTTCGATATGACTGCCTAAAAACACTCGTCAGTTCTCAGGTGCATGCGTTGAACATCGATTGGAAAGGAACCTTCTTCGTTTTGCTTGCTTCGACCACGTGATGGAAGTAATGATGACTCTGGTTTTCAGAGTTTTTTGTGGACCCACATCAAGCTCTTATATATCCTTGTTGAAGACGTTCATAATAATATGAAATTTCATTGACATATCCGACTTTGCTATATGTCCGGTGAAGGAAGACATCGTGTGTTGTGTATCCTCTACCTTGGAGCAAAGATTCCCGAGTTCTGTTTCAAGCGTGCAAGAGCAATGTATCAAACACGATGGATGGCGAGTTTTATACTGCCTGAAGATATGCATGTTTCAGAAGCAGCTGGAGAATCTCACTCCTCGACAGAAAACTTGCCTAAAAGATGTGAGAGTGTTTGCTGTGACCATCTGCCTGAAAGCCAGTATTACCCCTCCGATTACTGCAGCAACTCCACTGAATGATCTGCAGCTCCTTCAAAAACTTCATTACCACAGCATGAAAATCGTAAAAGAAGCTGCGCTACAGTTCAGAGCCAACTTGTGGTATTTTTCGGACGAATTGGTGGGATTGGTGCTCTTTGATTCTTCCGTTTTTGCTGACAGAAAAAAAAAGTTAATTTCAAAGCAATGGAAGTGAAAGAAGGCGACCACCACTGCCCGAAACGTGTGAGCCTTCCACAGGGTTTCCTTCCAACGTTCGATGTCTTGGCCATTACAAACTCCCTCAAAAGCGTCTCCAGGCCCTCAAGACAAACCGCGTGTTCCTACACTTAAGATCAGTCGACTAGGGACCCAGATGAGGAGTTTCAAGAGTGTCTCCAGAAGATGGGAAACATAAAGGTCGTCATGTCATTGTCAAATACAACGTGTTTACTTGGTCTCACTTCCTTTGAGCTTTTAGTAGTAGTAGTAATAGTAATAACGTACTAGTAGCGAATCCAGTATTGATCCTTGTGAAAATTACACTAGGCTCTCTCTCTCCCATTCTTTTGCGTCATCCCTTACTGTAACTCTTCGTTTTCTGTTTTTCCTCATTTCCTAAAGCATTCAACCTATTATCCCTACCTGTTCTCTTAATTTCCGGACTTATTGCTAATGTCATACTGTGTTATTCTTTCTCGCAGGCCGCGAAGATGTTAACAACCCATTACTGTCATTTTTGCTGTCTCCGTGACACTGCCAGGATTTCACGTTCTTATATCTGCGGCAGCTTTTATTTTAAAAATTGTCTTATCCATTATTTCTGATAATATGAATGCAAAGTATGTTTCAGTATCCACTGTTTGTCTCCTGTCACATATAAAGGGACCATATCATTTCAAGCTCTGTTCTTTTCTAAGGTGTGCTAGCAGCTTCCCAAGATGCGACCCATAACAAAAGGCTAACATCCAGGTATCAGTTTACTGTGCTAGATGAACAGGTAGAACAGGTGTAAGGAGACTTGAAAATAGTCTCGAATCGCTTGTGATTAAACCAGTGTCTAATCGGCAGAGGTTAGTGGAGCTTGAGTTAACTGTCAGTGAGTCAGACACAGAATGAGGAAAGATGCAGAAATACAATGATGGACAATATATTACAAATAGTGCTGTGGGTTAATTAAATCCCAGAGGGAGGGAGAAAGTGTAATTTTGCTTTTTTTTCCAGGCGATAACTAGCTGACAACACTGTTCATGAGGTACTCCCGAAGGGGTACCTTTAAATGGTTGCCTGGATTTATTTTCCAATGATTTCGATTACATCTTTTGAACGCCACATTCGATCGGCTTCAAATTTTCAACACTGATATAGAGTACCTAGGAAATGTTTCATGCAGCTATTGGAATGGGCAAGTACCCTCTAGTCAATTTTAAATAGGCCATTTCCGATTTTCGTTTGCGTGCAGAAAGTTGAGAAAGCCTCTTCTGATCGCCTTCACATATAAAACACTGCTGTATCCAGCTGGAATGGCATTATTTTCCCCAAAAATAGCTTGTATATTTCTCCTTAGAACTGCTTCAGTATTAATAGCTGAAGGATCATATTAAAAGGCTTGAACTTTTTAGGCTTAAGCTGTGTAAGTTAAATCTGCCAGATTGTTACCATATTTAATAAACATAGAACTGTCGGCTTGTGTGTGTACAGTGGAGAATGCATCAACTGGTGGCTTCAATTTTTTGATACTGGTATGTTTTCCCTCAAAGAAAAATCTGCCTTGATTTTGGATTGTACAAATTCTAAATCGTAAACGTTATTTAAAATATCTTTTATGCAATAACCATAGCATTCCTCTTCTAATTGACTTCCTCTCTTAAACTGGTACATCTTAATTAGAAAAAAAACAGCTTTTGTTTTGGTCCGAGTATGTGTCAATTTGTCATTTTTATCGATGAAATTAGGAAAATTATATTACTAGTTTTCATGTGATAATTCGTGACTACCTCATCTGATCGGCTTCAAACCTTCAACGCCAATAACTTAGGATTGGTACTTCTTAGTAGTTCTCAATAAAAAACACTGGTCTACTTTGGGATATTGGGCTCCGTGAGATAATTTATTTTTCTGATCAACTTAAATCTTAGACGAGGAGATATTAATTAATTTTGATGTTAAATCCTCAACAAATATTATTAAGCTTAATTTAAAAAAAATACTTAATATTTTTATATAAAGCTACGATCTATGTATTCTGTGTCCTTGTGTAGGAGAATAACTTGTATGAGATTCACCTAAGATTAATTGTATGGTGTCCGTAATATGAATGGGAGAAAATCACCTATTTTTTTTTCTCCCTGAGATTGGATAAAATTTTGTTCGGATTTTTAACACTGGAGGGTTAACCACCCGGATAACCTAAGAAAGGCAGTGCGTCTGAGTCTTATATCTACTGGGGTCTCAATCTTGTCCACCAGGATGCGACCCACTCCAGCCGACTAACATCCAGGTATCTACTTGCTTCCTAGGTGAATGGGACAACAAGGCAAGTTTGGAAACTACTGGACGTGTTTCCAACCTTGCCGGGATCGAACCGCGGACACTCAGGATGTGAAGCGAGAGCGTTGCATACCAGGCCACGGGCCACAATGCCTAGTCTCAGAGACAGTTTAAGCACTGAAATATGTAAGTAGCAAATATCTACAGGAATCCCATAATAGGTATATAGAGCATATTTCGAATCCTCGAAAAAGGTACTTTCATATGCTTGTCTGACGTTTTTTCTTACAAGGTTTTCATTCATATTTTCACAAGGTCCCATCTGATCAACTTCAAATTTTAAACGATGGTGTTCTGTAAATAGGGAAAATGTTCTGATGGTTATTGGAATATGTTGGTGCCATCTGGTTGTTTTTATATAAATTATTCCTAAATTTGGTTTCCATGCAATAACTCGAGGAAGCCTTTTCGGATCAGCTTCAAACTTTCAGCTTAGGAAAAGTTTGGTATTCTTATTGGAAATTGTTTATGAAAATTTCCAGTTATTTTAACCTTACAATGGGATTTTTTGTGAAATAACTTTAATATAAATACCCTTAATGAATTTTGGATTTTATAGACGAGATAGAACCCTGTAAGTTTAGGTAAATTTGTCAGATGATTTTTTAGTTTTATAAATACATTTTGCATCGATGGATTTCGAGCGATGATTGGAGAATGTCTCTCATCATCGGCTTCAAGTAATCAGTAAAGATGAGTATCGCTTAACGGGAAGTTTAACTTTACTGAAGGCTGTTTAAGTTATAATTTGCCAATTTTAATAAAGAAACTGATTTCCGTGTGAAAACTAGATGTTGTTTGTTAATTAATGAAAAGGATGGCTCAGTCTTGAGCTGTGAAAACCTAATCTTCAAAGTCAGGTCAAAGTTATTTTCAAAAAAGAAACGAAAAATCAACTAATATCTGCAGCAGAGGACATATTCGAGAGAAAAACATTCAGAGGTGAAAGTTTTATTATCAGTTACTGACAAGGAAAAATTAAAACACATGACTGTGGCTCGTGTTGGAGTCGGCATGTGACCCATCCAAGCTAAACAAGTATAATAACATTGCTATAATTAAATATTTCCAGAAATGATGTACCATTATATGTATGGATACTTCAGCACTTATATTCTCGCATCCAAAAAGTTATATTTTACCTTATTTAATATTAAGTGATTATGTATATGAGTGATTATGTAGTATATGAACGTAAGAAAAGATTGCTGCTAGGTTGCAACGCCAAAGCACCCCTATGTGTTCAAAGATAATTTCTCATGTAAGAAACCCTGTGGATAAAAATTTCTCACAACCAACAATGGTGAATATAAGACATTTTGCAAACCATGGTTTCTTGGGACAACATTTTATTGGCTTGACAAAAAATGTTACACAGAGCAAAACAATGTTCAAACAAAAGCTTGTTCTGCAACACGTGACTTTTTCCTCGCAAAGGAACCCATTGGTGAAAAAAATCTATCAGTTGAATTCCGGAGGGATAGCCCGCACCTCACAGACAAAATTCCTTGGGTTGGTGCAGCGGTTGTCGTTGAGGGGTGGATGCCAGCTGGTACCTATGAGAGCACAATCCTCCCCACCACAACAGTTGTTAGGCTGGTCGAATGCCCAAATATCACTATCAACAGGCCTACCGGTCACCCACCGCCACACTCCCTCTTCAGCAACGTCGCTCGCGCCCACCCAGAACGTCATTTCGGGTCCTGTTGATAGTTTGATTAATTTTAATGGTGTTAGTTTTGTTACTTTTATTATGTTATAATAATTATTATTATTAGTATTAAGTATTATTAGTATTAGTAGTAGTGATAACAGTAGTAGTATTAGTAGTAGTAGTATTACCAGTAGTAGTAGTAGTAGTAACAGTAGTAGTAGTAACAGTAGTAGTAGAAGTAGTAGTGGTAATAGTAAAAATATATTGTTATAGCAGTAATACTTCGTGTTGTAGCTGACAGTGATAACTCAGCATCTTCAAACAGCTTCCTAACTCAAGAAGGTAATAGAAGTGAAGGCAACAGTGTGTGGTAAATGTAGAGACTAAAATACAAAAACAAATAAGGAAGAACCACAATTAAATCAGAGTTTTTAGTATAAAATCCAAAGTCAGTGCTATAACTAAATTATTGACGTCTTAGAAAATACACAAAAAATTTACAACTCAAATTACAGTAAGAGATAACACTCGCCGCAGCAACATAGGCGAAAGACAAACAAATGAATGAGACGCATGTGCAACACATGGGTATCTTTAATGATAAAAATAATTTCACCTGCGCAGGAGGCTTCTTCAGTTGAATACAATGTTGGCTAAAATACTAGCGTCAGTTGAAGAATGGAAGACTGGAGATGTTCAAATCCTCATCTTTGATAGAAGTGGCGGGGTCATTGTGAAGCGTTCAGTCCCTCACCCTTAACTTGATAACTTAAGTATGAAAGGTGAGGGAAGGAACACCTCACAGTCTCCACTTCTTCAGCTACTTCCAGTACATTAGTCAACTTTCTTTCAATTCGACTGAAGAAGACTGATGAGCAAGCCAAATGTTTCTTGAATAATCACAAGTGTTTCACATGGACCTTTGTTGAAAATGGTATAAAATACCGACAAGTTGATGATAGACACATGTGCAACAATTGGGTATCTTTATTGTTGAAACGTTTCGCCTACACAGTAGATTTCTTCAGTCCCAGAGGCAGCAGGTGTAGTAGCGAAGTAAAGATGATGTAATCAGTCCATTAACCTTGACAATGCTTCTGGAGAGCGAAACATTCCGACAATAAAATGTCACATTAGTTACATATGTGTATTTCTACCATTATTGCAACAATAAGAAGGTAGTAGTGGTAGTGAAAAAGGGTAGCAGAGAGTGGAGTCTTGGTAAAGAAATAGTAGTATTAGTAGTAATAGTAGTGGTAATAGTGGAGGTAGCACTGCAGGAGAGCTAATAGCTCACGGGGTTAGGACAAAATCTTAATAGGACAAAACCTCCATAGGACAGAACCCATCTAGGCAGAAGACAGAAAGGCAAAGACAATATAGGAAACGTGAAGAGGTAAGGAGAGGAGGAGGAGATACATATCAGATCAGACTACGAGTGTTCTGAAGTTTGGAGTATTTCATAAGAGAAACTTCAATACAACGGTATCTGTGAAGGCTAGAAAAAGGGTAGACAGTTTTGGAAGAGGACCAGTTAATAGGATGACTGGTCTCTAACATGATAAAAAAGAGTATTGCTCGAGTTGCCACTGCACAAACTTCTTTTGTGCATTTTCAGTCGGAAAAAGAGCGGCCAATTTCTAGAAAGTATTGGAGAGGATAAGAGGAGCAGGATGGAATAGACTCTGGAAGCATCAGTGGCAGGAGAGGTACAAACTAGATTATTACGAATAGTATTAGTCTGGCGATAAGTAAGTTTGATGTCTAAAGAACGGAAAGTGTCGATAAGATTTAGGAGACTGAAAATATAAGGAAGGATAAAAGCAGGAAATTGCACAGGAAAAGAGATTTTGGGAGAGAAAAAGTCCGTTTAGTATGTGAGTACACAGCTGGGAAGAGTGGAAATTTTTGAGTAAAGAAACTGAGCGGTCACAGATACGGAGGGTACAGAGAAAGAGAAAAATTACACTTTTCTTGACAGAGGAAGCAAGGTAGGAGAAGCAATGAATGTACTTGTCACTAAACATTGGCTTCCGATAAACGGATAAAAAAAACCTGTAGCCCAGTGATGGACATGCATATCAAGAATAGGAAGCAAAGAGTTAGGTTCTCATTCAACCTTGAACTTGATGGAAGGAGCAAGATTTTTAAATATATCGAGAAATGTTTGTTAGAGACTATGGTCATGAGGCCAGAAACCGAAACGAAGTCTGATAGAAGGACGTACCCCAATAGTAGTTAGTACAACAGTTTCGAAATGCTCCACATGAAGGTTATCAAGAATTATTCCCATCACGACACTCTCATTTGTATTCTTTAACTGATATCAGCAAAGTTGGTAGACAGCAACCACCCAGGGAGGTACTACCGTCCTGCCAAGTGAGTGTAAAACGAAAGCCTGTGATTGTTTTACATGATGGTAGGATTGCTGATGTCTGCAAGATTACAGGTATATCTTGCTACTTCTACTTACACTTAGGTCACACTACACATACATGTACACATTTATTTATACCGACTCATCTGAGTTTTCTTTGATTTTATCTTAATAGTTCTTGGTCTTATTACTTTTCCTTTTATATCCATGGGGAAGTGGAATAAGAATCTTTCCTCCGTAAGCCATGCGTGTGGTAAAAGTCAACTAAAATGCCGGCAACAAGATAAGATAAGATAAGATTTCGTTCGGATTTTTAACCCCGGAGGGTTAGCCACCCAGGATAACCCAAGAAAGTCAATGCGTCATCGAGGACTGTCTAACTTATTTCCATTGGGGTCCTTAATCTTGTCCCCCAGGATGCGACCCACACCAGTCGACTAACACCCAGGTACCTATTTGCTGCTAGGTGAACAGGACAACAGGTGTAAGGAAACGTGTCGAAATGTTTCCACCCGCCGGGAATCGAACCCGGGCCCTCCGTGTGTGAAGCGGGAGCTTTAGCCACCAGGCCACCGGGCTAGTAACCCCTTTTCCTGTAAAGATTACTAAAAAGAATAAGAAGAAGAAGAAAATTGTCAAAGTGGGAAGTCTGAATGTGCGTGGATGTTGTGCAAATGATAAGAAACAGATGATTGAGGATGTTATGAATGAGAAGTTGGATGTCCTGGCTTTAAGTGAAACAAAGCTGAAGGGGGTGGGAGAGTTTCAATGAAGAGGAATAAATGGGATTAGGTCAGGGGTTTCAAATAGTTAGAGCTAAAGAAGGAGTAGCAATAATGTTGAAGGATAAGCTATGGCAGGAAAAGAGGGACTATAAATGTATTAATTCAAGGATTATGTGGAGTAAAATAAAGATTGGATGTGAAAAGTGGGTTATAGTAAGCGTGTATGCACCTGGAGAAGAGAGAAGTGTAGAAGAGAGAGAGAGATTTTGGGAAATGTTGAGTGAATGCGTGGGGAGTTTTGAATCAAGTGTGAGAGTATTGGTGGTTGGGGATTTCAATGCTAAAGTGGGTAAAAATGTTATGGAGGGAGTAGTAGGTAAATTTTGGGGTGCCAGGGGTAAATGTAAATGGGGAGCCTTTAACTGAGCTATGTGTAGAAAGAGATTTGGTAATAAGTAATACATATTTTTTTGAAAAAGAGGATAAATAAATATACAAGGTATGATGTAGCACGTAATGAAAGTAGTTTATTAGATTATGTATTGGCGGATAAAAGGTTGATGGGTAGGCTCCAGGATGTACATGTTTATAGAGGGGCAACTGATATATCGGATCATTATTTAGTTGTAGCTACAGTTAGAGTAAGAGGTAGATGGGAAAAGAGGAAGGTGGCAACAACAAGTAAGAGGGAGGTGAAAGTGTATAAACTAAGGGAGGAGGAAGTTCGGGTGAATTATAAGCGACTATTGGCAGAAAGGTGGGCTAGTGCAAAGATGAGTAGTGGGGGGGTTGAAGAGGGTTGGAATAGTTTTAAAAATGCAGTATTAGAATGTGGGGCAGAAGTTTGTGGTTATAGGAGGGTGGGGGCAGGAGGAAAGAGGAGTGATTGGTGGAATGATGAAGTAAAGGGTGTGATAAAAGAGAAAAAGGTAGCTTATGAGAGGTTTTTACAAAGCAGAAGTGTTATAAGAAGAGCAGAGTATATGGAGAGTAAAAGAAAGGTAAAGAGAGTCGTGAGAGAGTGCAAAAGGAGAGCAGATGATAGAGTGAGAGAGACACTGTCAAGAAATTTTAATGAAAATAAGAAAAAATTTTGGAGTGAGTTAAACAAGTTAAGAAAGCCTTGGGAAAGTATGGATTTGTCAGTTAAAAACAGAGTAGGGGAGTTAGTAGATGGGGAGATGGAGGTATTAGGTAGATGGCGAGAATATTTTGAGGATCTTTTAAATGTTAAGGAAGAAAGAGAGGCAGTAATTTCATGCACTGGTTAGGGAGGTATACCATCTTTTAGGAGTGAAGAAGAGCAGACTGTAAGTGTGGGGGAGGTACGTGAGGCATTACGTAGAATGAAAGGGGGTAAAGCAGCTGGAACTGATGGGATCATGACAGAAATGTTAAAAGCATGGGGGGATATAGTGTTGGAGTGGTTGGTACTTTTGTTTAATAAATGTATGAAAGAGGGGAAGGTACCTAGGGATTGGCGGAGAGCATGTATAGTCCCTTTATATAAAGGGAAAGGGGACAAAAGAGACTAAAAATTATAGAGGAATAAGTTTACTGAGTATACCAGGAAAAGTGTACGGTAGGGTTATAATTGAAAGAATTAGAGGTAAGACAGAATGTAGGATTGCGGATGAGCAAGGAGGTTTCAGAGTGGGTAGGGGATGTGTAGATCAAGTGTTTATATTGAAGCATATATGTGAACAGTATTTAGATAAAGGTAGGGAAGTTTTTATTGCATTTATGGATTTAGAAAAGGCATATGATAGAGTGGATAGAGGAGCAATGTGGCAGATGTTGCAAGTATATGGAATTGGTGGTAAGTTATTAAATGCTGTAAAGAGTTTTTATGAGGATAGTGAGGCTCAGGTTAGGGTGTGTAGAAGAGAGGGAGACTACTTCCCGGTAAAAGTAGGTCTTAGACAGGGATGTGTAATGTCACCATGG